CGTCTGTCTGTAAACTTTTCACATTTTCCACTTCTTCTCAAGAACCGCTGGGCCAATTTCAACCAAACTTGCCACAAAGTATCCTAGGGTGAAGGGGATTCAAGTTTGTTCAAATGAAGGGCCACGCCCTCATTTAAGGGGAGATAATTGGGAATTAATGAAAATTTGGTGGCATATTTTAAAAATCTTCTTCTCAAGAACCACTGTGCCAGGAAAGATGAAACTTATGGAGAAACATCCTCAGGTAGTGTAGATTCAAGTTTGTTCAAATCATGACCCCCGGGGGTAGGGCGGGGCCAAAATGGCCGACCAAAGTTTTACATAGAAATATATAGGAAAATTCTTTAAAAATCTTCTTCTCAAGAATGACAAAGCCATAATTGATCATATTTATATGGAAGCATGCTCAGGTAGTGTAGATTCAAATTTGTTCAAATCATGACCCCCGGGGGTAGGGCGGGGCCAAAATATATAGGCCTTCTTCTCAAGACCAAAGTTTTACATAGAAATATATAGGAAAATTCTTTAAAAATCTTCTTCTCAAGAATGACAAAGCCATAATTGGTCATATTTATATGGAAGCATGCTCAGGTAGTGTAGATTCAAATTTGTTCAAATCATGACCCCCAGGGGTAGGGCGGGGCCAAAAATGGCCGACCAAAGTTTTACCTAGAAATATATAGGAAAATTCTTTAAAAATCTTCTTCTCAAGAATGACAAAGCCATAATTGATCATATTTATATGGAAGCATATTCAGGTAGTGTAGATTCAAGTTTGTTCAAATCATGACCCCTGGGGTAGGGCGGGGCCACAATGGCCGACCAAAGTTTTTAAAGATATATATAGGAAAATTCTTTAAAAATCATTTTATAAAAAATAGCAAATCCATTATTGGTCATTTGTCTACATTTGGATTTAAACTTGACAATAAAAAGCCATTTTCTACTTTTTCCTACCCTTAGTGCTCAGGTGAGCGATGTGGCCCATGGGCCTCTTGTTGTTAAAAATGAAAGCTACTTCCGGTCAAACAGGACGGAAGACCTACTCGTTGCTTTGCAACTAGCTTTGCTCTAGTTTATTTTATTTTTTCTGACGGTGTTTCTTTTGATATGAACAAATACAATATCAAATTAACATGCCATATAGATCAGTATTGCCTTTTAAAATTAAATTTCAAGTCTACAGTCTTTTGATGCACAACTCAAGTGGTATTTTATAAAATTCCATATATAAAACATAGAATTTTATGAAATACCAATTGAACATTTTTTTTTTTTTTCAGTTTTGGAACATGAAATTCCAAAAATTCCTGATTTTTTTTCCCAAAACTTAAAAAAAACTTTAGGGTCGGGTGCAAAAAAATAGGGTAGGTCGGGTAGCAGGAAACATGACTATTTTTATTTTTGGCCTTATAAAATATTGAAATAATAACCAACAAAGTTAAAAATAAAATCAACATAATTTTTATTTAAATTTACAAAAATAGACAAAAGAAAAACTAAAACAGCATTTTCTTGAGAATAGCTGGTTGGATCCTCTTCAATATCTGAAAAGATATATAATATCAAAGGGTAAAAACAATGAAAAAAAGAAATTGAAAAAAATTGAAAAAATTGTCAAAAATTTATAAACATCACAAAAATTCAGGTGTGAGAGATCCGCTTTAAGAGTGGACTCAAATATCTTGGTACTGTTTTTTTTTTTTTAATAAACTTCAAATAAACTCTACTTGCACAAGTATTAAACAAATGTCACGCAAGCACATTGAAAGAAGTTTGTATTGTACATGTATTGTTTTTCAATGAGTTTAAGCGAAAATCTTGTAAATTTATTCTTGGTGTTGGTAAAAAGAGTACAAATATTGTTGTTCTTTCTGAACTTGGTAGATTACCCATGTTTTGTTCAATCATCATTAGTTTGCTATCCTATTGGCATAGATTAGAAAATATGTCAGATTCATCTTTATGACATTGTGCATATAATGAGTGAAAAATCTTAGTCAGTCTGATATCAATAACTGGCATGACTCTGTTAAATTTTTATGTAACAAATTAGACATGTTAGGTCTTAATTTACATGTATTTAAACAGTGAAATCAGGGATGGGGTAATTGAATAAAGTAATTGTAATTGAGTGTAATTAATTACATTTTTCAAAGTAATTGGAAGTAATTTGTATTTGAGCGAGCCTTCCATTACAAGTAGTTGAATGTATTTAAATACAATTCAAAAAAGGTCATGTATTTTCAATTACTTTTCAATTACATTTCAATTACTTTTTTTAAAATGAAAGTTTATATTTAAAAAGTGTCTTATACTGATAAGATGAAATTCATTTCCTTAGTTTTATATATAATGGAGAGGTTTATATTACTTATAAAAATTTCAACACTCTATCCAACAATCAAAAATTTTATAAATGACAAATGAAGATCACATTATATTACTTAAACATGTGACTTTTCATCCAAATCTTTCATTCCCACTTGCAAAAATAAAAATGAAAAAAAAATGTAAAACATTAGAAAAAAAACAATTTTTCAATAATGTATGCTTCACTAACTACATGTACTTTGCATTTTTTATTTACCTGTATTTGAAAATGCTATTCATTTTAATTGTCATTATAATGTTGAAAATAATGTTTATATAGATATTATATTATTTCCTTGTTTGTTGTCAAAAATATGGATTTGAGAAAGTAACAAAAAAGATCTTGCCATACACCATACTGGTGTAGCATGGGCTTGTGTTTGTACAATAATTAATTGTCTCATATATACAAAATTTGTTTATACAGTGTGTCACACTCATTATAAGGTAAAGGTCTAATTTTGACCAGGTGTGAACCCCTATTATACCCAAGAACAAAAACACTGAATGAAAGTTTGAAGCAGATTCGGAGACGTGCCAAAGCCATTGTTAAAAAAAAGTCTTATTTAAAAAAATCTTTATTTTTTTTTTTATTTCATAAAAAAAAAATTAAATCGAAGTAATTGAAATGTATTTAATTACATTTGTCAAAGTAATTGAAAGTAATTAATTACATTTGAAAAAATCATTGTAATTGTAATTGCAAGTAATTGACAAAATTATCAATGTATTTGAAAGTAATTAATTACATTTGAAAGTAATTGACCCCAAGCCTGAGTGAAATATGACCACATTTAAAGGATTACTGAGAAAACTTATCAAAAAGCATTTTTATGAATACTGGCTTAAAATACATGATGAGGGTCAAATACATGGAAAACTTGATACATAGCTTTTGTTGAAGTATACCTTTGCCATTGAGAAATACTGTAAATTTAGAATAAGTGCACATGAATTGAGAATTGAACATGGTAGATATGAATATACAAATTAAAGATATTAATGGGAAAAAGATCCCTCTAGAAAGAAGTCGGCAGATATGCACTCTTTGTAATTCAAATTGTATTGAAGATGAAATTCATTTCCTTACAAATTATTTAATATATAATGAAGAGAGGAAAGATTTGTTCAACTTCTTAAGCGACACTTATAAAAATTTCAACACTCTATCCAACAATCAAAAATTTTTATGGATTATGACAAATGAAGATCACATTATATTACTTAAACATGTGACTTTTCATCCAAATCTTTCATTAAGAGAAAAAAACCTCTTGAAAAAATAAAAATAAAAAAAAAATAAAAGTAAAACATTAGAAAAAAAAACAATTTTTCAATTCATGTATGCTTCAGTCTCTACTACATGTACTAATGTACTTTGCATTTTTTATTTTCTATCTTATAAGCATTAAGTTTGAAAATGCATATACATGCATGTACATTAATTGTCATTATAATGTTGATGCCCCCTACCACATTATGTACATGTTTATATAGGTGCATGTATGATTTTTTTTTCAACTATATTTTAGGCCTTTCCTTCTTATGTTTGTTGTCTCTATGCTCATTTGGGCATTGAATTAGTAATAAAACATATCTTAATTATCTTATCTTATAGCTTGATAAAGCTATATAGCTTTATCAAGATATTACAAATACCTTGATCAAGGTATTTTATGTAATGAAAATACGAGGAAAAAAAAAAAAAATATTGACAGGGGCCTACATACTAACTGGATAGGCAACTCCTTCTTCGCAATGTTTAATTACCCAAAACGTCAGGCACAACACTACAAGTTTTTCAAACTACGTTTATTCCCAGTAAACAGGGTGTTTTATGATTAATATTACTATTCATTCCTTTTATGTATTGGAATTGATTGTTAATGAATTTTAAAGCATAAATAATAATATAATTTAAATATAAAGAAAACAAACACTGAAATTGGCAATTTTTCAGAAATACGGCCGATCATTAATCCCTGTTGAGATTCTGCTGGGCTAGATATTTGGACTGAGGCCCGCAGTCTGCGACGGCGTCAGTCCAAATATCTAGCCCAGCAGAATCTCAACAGGGATTAGGCCGATCATGGGCATGTGCTGATTTTGATTTTTTTTTCCCCTTCATTATAATGTACATGGTCCACTCCAGTAAAAGTTTTCAGTATATGAGAAATATGGTTTTACTTTGCTACTTTAAATTATACACTCAAATGGTCTTCAACTCCTGAAAATGGTGAAATTCAATTGCCCCTCCCCCCCCCCCCCCCAGCAGTGCTCACCCTGCACTGGCTGGAGTGATCCCCAGACCCCTGACTGATTTTCCCAATTTAAACAGAAAGGGTATTTTACTTTAATCCCTATTAGTAGATTTTTTATGTTGAGTGCTTTATCTATGCATGTATGTCAGATTGTGAGACCATTAGGACTGTTACAGAAATTGCTAAATTTTTTTTTCTCTTCTAAAAAGCTTGTCTCTTGTAAGAATGATCAAACTGTATATGAGGACTTGCTTTTGCTAGTTAATATGCATCTCATATAGTTGTATTGTAGCATATAGGAGCAGCCTTGTGTTGCTCTACTCAATTTTTGGCCAAAATTTTAAATTTATCTACATGCATTTTCAGGAAAACATGATGTTTTTGTTTCCATGCCAACAGGGGCTGGAAAGTCCCTGTGCTATCAGCTTCCAGCTGTTGCGTCGGCGGGGGTCACTCTGGTGGTCTCTCCACTCATTGCTCTCATGCAAGATCAGCTGGATCATCTGGACCTCCTCAACATCCGTGCAGAAACTATCAACAGTAAGATGACAGCCAAACAGAGAGCTAAAGTTGTGGCAGATTTAAACAAAAGCAAACCAAACACCAGACTTCTGTACATAACTCCCGAACAAGCCGCATCAGAGGGGTGTAAAACAATAGTAGAGGGACTCGTCAAAAGAAAAATTCTGAAGTATTTCATCATAGACGAAGCTCATTGTGTGTCACAGTGGGGACATGACTTCAGACCTGACTATCTAAAGCTTGGTTCTTTCAGAAAAATAATGCCTAACGTACCATGTGTGGCATTAACTGCTACTGCCACAGCGCGGACAGTAGAAGACATTATCCAGCAGTTAAAACTCAAAGAACCTGTAGCTAAGTTCAAAAGTAGCTGTTTTAGGTCAAACATCTATTATGATGTTGTAATGAAAGATGTTGTCCATGACCCTTATGAAGATTTGATGAAATTTGCACTGACAGCACTGAAAAGAGAATCCTTCAGCAAGGAAGAGAATTCTTTCATAGAAAATTGGGTAAAATCAGCTATTAGCTAACCTATGCAGTTTTTTTTGAGAGAAAAAGTGTAATATTCATATCTATTTAACCATGTTCACAGGGGTAGGATATGTCATAATTACATTTACAGATAAAAGTTAAATTTCCAAAATCTTGTAACTTGTGCATTCATATGTATTTTATGCTAAATATTATAATGGTGCGAGTCAACATTTATGATAAAATTTTGAAGTTTTGAAGTTTATCCGTCTCATATTTCAGACAGAATTTGGTTGTGGTATTGTCTACTGTCGAACAAGAGATGCCTGTGCAGAAGTGGCATCTCACCTGACCAGAAAGGGTGTATTAACCAAGCCATACCATGCCGGCCTGAAAGCTGATGTCAGAGAAACGGTACAAACAGACTGGATGGAGGGCAAGTTTCCTGTGATGGCCGCTACCATCAGCTTTGGAATGGGGATAGACAAACCTAATGTTAGGTAGTGCATGTGTACAGCAATTATCAGTTTGTTTGTTTCTTTGTTTTGATATTGCAGAAACTTGTGTGTAAGTAAGATTTTTGGGGGGAGCAACATTTTGGTTCAAAACTCGTAATGAGTCCTAGAACATGTAGAAAATCAATATGTTTAACAACAATACAGTATGTAGCATCTTTATGCATATTTTTAACAACCATCATTGACAAACGTCAGCTAAGGAACATCCAAAGTTACTGTAGGCATAAAGTACAATGTACAAGTGCTAATAAATTTGAATTATATTTTATTTTGTTGCTGTATGTTTTAATGAAAATGAAAGATCAAATATCAATGGCACACCTCAAATACTTAAATTATTGAATTGCTTTGAAACATGCCAGAGGTTGTTTCTCTCACTTTAATTAATGAAAATAGTAGGCTCAGTGGGGGCTGTCAGGGAACAAACCCTCAAGTATTAAAAAAAAAACTAAGATGGTCATAACAGATAAATTTAATCACTTAAAAAAACTGAAATACTGTAATCATTATTATACCCCCCTTCAAAAAAGGGAGGACATACCCGGTATATTGCTTTGTTGCTGCCTTTAGTCCACCAACAGTTTCTATTCATTTTCTTCATAGAGGTTGCACATAATGAAATTTGGTATACAGATTTATCATAAGATTATCTAGGTCAGGTTTTGTTTTTCGTACAATCAAGCAATTTTTGACAGAATTATGCCTCTTACACTTAGAAAACTTCCAATTATTTGCATTTTCCATTCATTTTCTTAGCATGTATAGAGGGGAGGGGGGATAATGTTTCACAAACATCTCTTGTTATATGGTTATAATGGTAATCTTACTGTATGCTGTGGGAGAGATACACAGTTTTGATCCTATCTTTTTACAGATTTGTTGCTCACTGGACAATACCCAAGTCAATGTCGGGCTACTATCAGGAATCAGGACGAGCGGGGAGGGACGGGGCCCAGTCTTACTGCAGGATGTATTACTCCAGACGAGAGAGGGATACAGTGGCATTCCTTATCAATCAGGAAAACTCTAGATATACAGTGAGGAAGTAGAAATGTTTGAAATGACTAGGAGTTCCACTGTTATTAATATTAAGTTGGTATTAATTAAGATATAAAAAGATGATCTGATGTCTGACTGCAAAAGGTTAGGTTTTCTATTAAGTTTAGCTTACTTCACACAGAGCTGTATAAGGCCTCATAAACTTTAAATTGTCAAACTTATATGCAAACTAAAATATTTCAAGAAACATGAATCCCCTACTATAGTAATATTAAGGATGTAAAAAGAGAGGTCTGTTATTTTTATTTGCATTGTATGCTTTACAGTTATTTCAAAGAAAATGATTAAATGGGTCAAACTGTAATAATATAGTACATCATAAGCAGTAATGAAAATCGCAAACAACAATTAATCTTCAAAGTGTCTACTTTTCTTTCCTTGTTAAATATTAACAGCCCATTTAAGTTTCTATTACCAAGAAATTATTAAACACTGATGAAGTGATCCTCCTCCTAGTTTAAATAACTTTTTCTGGCAGAATTGGGCTAAGAAGAAAATTGATGACTATACAATCATAATTTTTTTCTTTAGAAAAATGCAGAAGCTCAAAAAATAAGGAAGAAGGCTGCCGAGAGTGGTTTTGATGCTGTGGTTAAATATTGCAGAAGCTCAAAAAATAAGGAAGAAGGCTGCCGAGAGTGGTTTTGATGCTGTGGTTAAATATTGTGAGAGCTTAAGGTATGATATATCAGAATTTTAAGCACGAGATTACACCCGCCCTTTAAAGACTTCTGATGAATTCATTAATAAACAATTCTTTAGACTGTACAGTACTATGGTATATACACATGACTATTCCTCCCTTGATTAATATTTATTTTCATGTATATAATATGTTTAGTCGAATTCATTTTAATGAGCATTTAGTATAATGATCTTCAGATCTAAAGCTCCAAACATGTAAAATATGTATAATTCATATTTTTGAATATTGGAACAACTTATCAACTTAGGCTGTTTTTGGTAAATAGTTGCAGGCATTGGTCCATATCCAAGTACTTTGGAGATGAGAAGCCAGACTGTAATAATTCCTGTGATCACTGTACAGAACCAAAGAAGGTAGAGAAAGCCATGGAGGACCTACAGAGGTGTGCTTATGGCAGTATGAAGAAGGGGGTCCCTGGAGGGGCAATTTACACTGTGTCAGAGGATGATGAGGAAATGTACGAGGGAGGAAGGAGAGGCGCCAAGAGGTAAACAAACCAGGCAACTGTACACTGGATCAAAGAGGTAAAACAAACCAGACAACTGTAAACTGGGATCAAAGAGGTAAACAAACCAGACAACTGTAAACTGGGATCAAAGAGATAAACAAACCAGACAACTGTACACTGGGATCAAGGAGGTAAAACAAACCAGACATCTGTACACTGGGATCAAAGAGGTAAAACAGACTAGACAACTGTAAAATGGGATCAAAGGTAAAACAAACCAGACAACTGTACACTGGGATAAGGGGTGCAAAGAGGTAAACAAACCAGACAACTGTAAACTGGGATCAAAGAGGTAAACAAACCAGACATCTGTACACTGGGATCAAAGAGGTAAAACAAACCAGACAACTGTAAACTGGGATCAAGGAGGTAAGCAAACCAGACAACTGTAAACTGGGATCAAAGAGGTAAAACAAACCAGACAACTGTACACTGGGATCAAAGAGGTAAAACAAACCAGACAACTGTACACTGGGATCAAAGAGGCAAAACAAACCAGACATCTGTACACTGGGAGGAGGTAAAACAAACCAGACATCTGTACACTGGGATCAAAGAGGTAAACAAACCAGACAACTGTACACTGGGATCAAAGAGGTAAAACAAACCAGACAACTGTACACTGGGATCAAAGAGGTAAAACAAACCAGACAACTGTACACTGGGATCAAAGAGGTAAAACAAACCAGACAACTGTACACTGGGATCAAAGAGGTAAACAAACCAGACAACTGTACACTGGGATCAAAGAGGTAAAACAAACCAGACATCTGTACACTGGGATCAAAGAGGTAAAACAAACCAGACATCTGTACACTGGGATCAAAGAGGTAAACAAACCAGACAACTGTACACTGGGATCAAAGAGGTAAAACAAACCAGACAACTGTACACTGGGATCAAAGAGGTAAACAAACCAGACAACTGTACACTGGGATCACAAACCAGACATCTGTACACTGGGATCAAAGAGGTAAAACAAACCAGACATCTGTACACTGGGATCAAAGAGGTAAACAAACCAGACAACTGTACTGGGATCAAAGAGGTAAAACAAACCAGACAACTGTACACTGGGATCAAAGAGGTAAAACAAACCAGACAACTGTACACTGGGATCAAAGAGGTAAAACAAACCAGACATCTGTACACTGGGATCAAAGAGGTAAAACAAACCAGACATCTGTACACTGGGATCAAAGAGGTAAACAAACCAGACAACTGTACACTGGGATCAAAGAGGTAAAACAAACCAGACAACTGTACACTGGGATCAAAGAGGTAAACAAACCAGACATCTGTACACTGGGATCAAAGAGGTAAACAAACCAGACAACTGTAAACTAGGATACTCTTGATACTTTCCAATATTAAGTTTTTCTTTTTACAACATGTTTGCATTGGGTTTTTTCCTTTTGAAATAAAATAGTGTTGACTCACATTTAACTACTATTCCTTCATAATTGCAAGTATATTTTCGACCATGTTTGTTCATCTCTTTTCATGCAGGAACTTTATTGCAAATTAAATTCATCTACAAAATTAAAAAAGAATAAACCCGGTACTGAATAAGACTATATATCTGATAGAACCAGGGAGGTTATAAATGAGATGAACAGTTGTAATTTTACAGTAAGTTTCCGCATATTACAGGGATTATGATGAGTATGGAGATGAGGAATATTCTGAGTATCACCAGGACCAAATGGAACGTGAAACAGAACAGAGACAGAGGAGTGCACTCATAGCAAAGGAATTCCAAAAACGAAAAGTAAGACGACATGTTAAAACATTTCACAAAAATTAGTGTAATAGGTAACTTGATCTAGCAAACTGGTGACAGCTTAAGCACAGCATGTTTGATATATGTGGAACTTATAAGAGAGCCTGTTGAAACCATAGTTTAATTTACTCTAGACTGGAAGGTGTTCTCTTGCTATATTCAAGTGACTGTCAAGACCCATGGGCCTCTTGTTTGTGCTCATTTATGAGAATGTCTCTCATCATGTTCACTGAACTTTTCATTTCATAATTGACTGTCACAGTTAATAAACAAACATATTAACAATGACTAATTCATTTGTGTGCTGAAAGAATGTAAACAAGTTCTATTTTAAAGGTTGTTTTTGTATGATTAGAGGAGCGGTGGTGATGAGGTGAAACAGACAGAAGAATTTGTTCCCCCCGCTGAGGACTGCCCCCTGAGAGACCCGGCAAGTCAGCGCATTCCTAAACTCACTGTCAAGGTCAATAATGATTTTATGCCTGACCAAGAACATGACTGGTTCATATAGCGATCATCTGTCTTCCATCTTTTTATCATAACGAAGCTATTACAAAGATTGTAATTATTGCTAAATAATACAGTCATGAAAATAATCGATATGAAGCATGAAAAAAACTACAGTAAATTACGTATAAATCTTTAACTGTTTCTTATAAAATACAAAATATGTACCTGTACATGTATGCATATGATTAAGTATGACTATACTCTGTTGCAAATCAAATGGCGTAAATTTGTCTTATCTTCTTACATTCAACCAGTGGGCTTACTTCCTGTTCAGATACTATTGAAATATGTATTAAATTTCATGATGCAGATAAGAGAACACTGCCTGGGAATGATAGAAGAGGCCTTGAAGAATAACTACATTGGATACTATGTAGATATACCAACAAAACTGGCTGCATCTGACTACATTCCTAAGACCTGTGCCATTGACATTGAATATGATGTGCTGAAGGCTAACAAGTTGGCCAATGTGTATAAAGCCTCAATTATGAAGACCATTAATGACATTAAGAAGTGCACAGGTTCAAAAGAACTTCACAGTTGTCTGGTTCCTAGAAATGAGAACCAGAATAACTGTGATGACCTAGTTAGTGAGACACCAGACAAGACGGCAATGCAAGGCTCCCCAACACCAGAATCCTGTATCTTCTATGACCCAGTGGAAAAGGACTATCCAGAATTAGGCTCAACATTTGTCAAAGCAAGTTCTCTAATGAAGAGCAGTTCACCATCATCTTCATTGCCAAATCTTTCAAATCCGTACTCTGCTACTAATTATACAACAAATGGAATTTCTTGTAAATCTGAAAATGGCAAGACTTCTAGTCCTGTACCAGATGGAAAAGAGCCTAACGACTCTACAAAATTTAGTACTCAGTTTCTTAAAGCAAGTGAATTAGTTAACAATAGTAATGTTTTCAATAACAATAAAAGCAAGTCATCATCTTCCATTCCCAAGGCATTTAACAAGCCACCTGTCCCCAAAATAACTTATTTCTTTGAACGGGCCAAGAAATCAGAAGAAAAGGATATTATAAATAATGCTCACCAGGAAACATCAGAAAATGTTGTTAAACCAAGTGTCACTTCTGGTGCTAAAGCTAGTGAGAAGAAGTTCTCCCAGAAAGACTTAAAAAGACATGCCAGTCCAGGAGAAGAGGTATGAATTTAGAACAAATCTGTGGATGAAGAAAATCATGATTGCATTTCCTTTGATAAGCTGTTTGTAATTTTGTAGAGATAATATACTAGTAGATATTTTTCCTGTGACATATTTTGCCTCCATACTACTTCCCCTTGGCCATCATACTCATAGTCGTAGTGTGGATTTCCTTCTTTGAGCAATCACTTAAATACATGAATGGCAAAAATATATGAGAGAAAAATCTCTATAACTGTCAACATTCTTAATTAAGTGATGCTTTAATTTAAAGATTGAAACTGGAAGATATGAGAACTTAATAAGGAATAATAATAGGAAATGTGATCTTTGTAATTTGAATGATATTGAAGATGACTTTCAGTTTTTATTCATTTGTCCGGTTTTTCATGGTTTTCACTATTTAAGAAACAAGTTCATCAATACTACTCTCGAAGACCAAGTGTCTTCAAACTAATACAACTATTCCTAAGGAATGAAGAACTGAACTGAAAATAACATTCTTAAAATTAAGTAATCAAGTTAAAAGAAATAATTTTCAATCAAATTATTTGTATTCAATTTTTATAGGCAACTCAAGAAGTCAAAAGAAAAAAGCTTGACAAACCTCTTTCGTCAAGCAGCCATGTCAAACAGACAGCTGATCTGGTGGTGCGATACTTATCTCCATATTACAAGGACGGGCACATTGTCTCTAAGGTAATGGCAATGCATTGCATAATAGGTCTTACTGTAAATTATGTAAATTTCTTGGGTCCAATATGAAGGTTTAAAGAACCCCTTAGGTAAAGGGGATAACTGGATTGTCAAAGTTAAGACTCAAGCTTCATTACAAGGGGGATAATCCAGAATAGGCAAAAAATATAAAAATCTTCTCTAGAACCGTGAGGTCAGAAAGGATGAAAATTATTTGAAAGCCTACTGATGTAGTGTATCATAATTACAAGGCCATGTAAATCATACTTGCCACATATAATAAAGTACTCCCGTGATGTGACACTTAAAATTAAAATTTGGTAATATTATGGAGTAACATTTTTTTTCATGTGAACATGAAAATCTTTTGAAAATCTGATGAAATCAGGCTAAGGTTAATCATAGGTCTCTTGCATTGTTTTTAACTCACTGTAAAATTAGGTAGATGTGCAGGGCTGATTGCTAGTGAAAGTTGTCAGTCCTACCCAAATGTACCAGCCCCCCCAAAAAATAATTGTCTTTTATAAGTTTGTTTTAGCAGCAATGTGAATGGGGCCAGTTCACTATATATTGGATCCTGATCCTATAGGCTGAAGAATTCTACATGTTTGCTTATAACTCTTTGCAACCAGTAGTATAAGTTGATTTAAAAGAGTTTTATGAAATATCTTAATTTTAATTTATGAAAAAATTTTACACGTCCAGCCGGGCATCAATACATGCTAATCTGTTCGCCCGTGATAAAATTTGTGCGTCTCGAACAGTCAGGCGCATGATTATTTCAAACACTGGTCTCTTGCTATACATGTACTTACCAATTAAGATAAGCTTGATAAGGGATTAGGCTACTATTTTTAAGTGGTAAACGTAGATTTTACATACTGTAAAAGCACAAATATTTGTAGAAGATTAAATTTGAATTCATTTATTTTATTGTTAACAATTATCTACAAAATTAAATCCCACATGAAATTTTATATGACTATATATTGAATAGGGTTACTTTCAAAACAACAAAATTTAATGCTATCAAAACTATTTAGATGACCAATCAACGAAATTTTATCCCCACGAAAATTTGTGTTTCTACACTATATTAGTTTTTTTTTTTCATAGAGAAATAGTGTTTAACCAGTTATTACAGAATCCATGAATCATGAGGCTACAGATTGAGTGCGAGCACTGAATCAAATTCTATACATGTGTGTCACTGTAGATGTTGATTTCCATTTAAATCAAACTAAAATTAATTGCGTTTCAAAGAGTCTTTGTGACATATTTGTAGGACATCTTCAAAACTATGGCCAGGATGCTGTCTCACAAGGTGCAGTCTGTATCTGGTACTGAAGATCAGGGTAAGGAATACAAGGCCTCTCATTGAAGAGGAGTTAAGGACTTTATCTTATATTATTGTATTATTAGCTCACCTGAGCTGATGGCATTCAATTTTAAGTCCAGTTGTTCAATTGCATTCCTAGAAATTAGTGTTATTTTAGAACTACCTGTAGATTAAATCGAATTTTTGATTTGATGTTCAGAGTCATGACCCCATAGAAAAAAGTACTTTCACAGTATATGAATGACAGAATTTACACACCTTAATATTATCTTTTGTACAGCAAAACTTTGTTATAACGAAGTCGCTGGGACCTTTGAAATTATTTCGCTATATCCGTAATTCGTTATAACCGTATTAGAAATTCTTTAAATTTACATAGCTGGGGATCCAAGATGACTTCACTATATCTGTGAATTCGCAGTGTCTGTGTTCGCACTAAACGAGTTTTACTGTAACATGATTTCATACTTATTAAGATTTTTAAAAATATTGATTTCATCCATAAATTAGCTGTTATCTGATTGTTTATTTCTAGATTTTCTACTTTCAGCAAAACAAGAATGTAAACGCTTGATAAAAGAAATTTTTGCCAAACATCCCAGAATAACATCTACAGAGGAATTTGATGGCTGGAAATGAACTTAAGACATTGTGTGTTCAAACTGAGTGAATCTACTTAAGCAAGCAGACTGTTCTGATTTACATAAGAATTCTTCTTCTGGTTTTAGTCTTGGCCATCTTGCAGACATATTTTTTGCATTATTTCTGTATTGCACTCCAAAATATGGATTGATTATTTATTTGAAATCATGTCTTAGAACTATTTTATATCTGTTTGGTATCATTCTTATTTGGCTCTAGGTCTTATTTAAAAAAAAAAACGTAAGTAGCAGGGAGCTAATGTAGTGAATATGTCCGAAAAATATCTTCAAGTTATTATTAAGATTTTTTGGTCTCTTTCTGATGGATAATTTTTCGGATGTTTTGTGGTTATTAGATCAACTAATAAAATTTGTTCAAATAAATGATCATGTCCCTTTCAATAGGACAACTAGACAAGGTGAGGACAAGGTTTCTTGTGTGGATTGGACAGTACAATTTATTATGTTTAAATGACTTTAATGTAAGCTCTGATGCAAATGTACTTGAATCTGTCTATTATTTGCATATGTGTGTATGTAAGCATATTCAGTTTATTCACAGAAATTAAGTGAAGGTCATTTTATCTTCCTCTGATTTTTTATTGTATTCAAGACATTTTCTCCTTTGTGTTCCAGTATTCTGTCATTTTATATTCAGGGTTAGTGTAGTCATTGGCTGCTTTGAGTTTGTCCTTTGGATGATAAAGGTCCTGCCAAAACTTTTTTTTTAATTTTACATGTTTTTATTAATTTCTCTTGTTAGAATAACTGCATGCAGTCAATTTTCTAATTGAACATTTATGTGCCAGATAAAAACCCAATGTTTAACATGAGGACTGTGATATCACCTGTATATGACCACTGATATGCTTTTTTGTGGTAGAAAATGTAAATAATTTTAAGTTGTTTTATTATTTAATTTTATAAATGTTGAAATGTTCTGTTTTGTGATTGTAATTTACACAAGAAGGATCAGACAGCCCTATATAATAAAGGAGATGGAACATTGACGTACAATCAGATAAGGCAACTTTTTTTATACGGCCGTCTTAAGATGGGACATATTATGTTATAGGATTTGTGTCCGTCCTGCTGTCCGTCCGTCTGTTAGCTAATCTCGTGTCCGGCTCGTAACTTTAATACTATAAGGCCTAGAGTTATCAAACTTTGTCAGATGATACATCTTGGGTAGAAGGTGTGTCACACACAAAAAGTAGGTCACTCTGACGTTTAATTGAGAAGTTATAGCCAAATATGGAAAATCCCTTCTGGCCCATCGCTAGAAAAGTATTAGAATCATCAAACTTGGCCACTTTATGCATCTTAGGTAGAAGGTGTGTCATGACCTGTTTCAAGGTCACTATGACCTTTAATTTAAGTGAAATTTTAAAAAAAAAAAGTGTCTTTTTACTATTCATTTACACATCCCTCAAAAATGTAAGAGTATTGCACTATCTTTATAAAAAAAAGTGTTAAATCAAGAAATACTTATTTTTTTCAGCATATATTTGACAGCAATCTATAACAAATATAATGTATGTTAGAGAAATTCCACTGCTCCCATATCAAGCACTGCTCAAGAAGAATTTTGATAACAGAAAATTGCAAGTCAAATTAGAGAGAAATTAATGAGTCTAGCTTGAGGAGCTAACTGGTAGAGCATCTCTGATGAAGCAGGTGTTATCTATATCCCTTGGGAGTTGGGCAAATGGGTCAACCTGTTGGATCAAAAAATAGCTCTTGTTGGCTAGCCTTGGAGTTTTAATTGATATTGCATAATAAATTAATCTGATATTATGGGCATTAAATCTCAAAAAAAAAAAAAAAAAAAAAAAATTATGGAGTATTTTAAATGTTTTAAAAAATCAAATGTTTTTGATAGATAGTGCAGATTGATTCATCTCTTGGTAATAATGAGCAGACAAGCATCCAATCAAAGATTGATTAATGAGTTCAATGTATGAAGGCTAGCTGTCTCAATCATTTCTTTAGAGCATCTCTGATCAAGCAGTCTTATCTGTATCCTTTGGGAATGAGACGGAAGAAATTTTGATCAGTTTATAGCTTATGTATTTGATGGCCTTTTATTTTCAAAATTAATTTGGTATAGATTAAGTTGTTAACACTAATTTGATATTGTTTAATATGGTAGGCATTTGACAAGGTCTAAAACAACTAGTATAGAAATCTATCTATGATGTAATATTTGTTATAATTAATCATAATGGGCTATTAATGCCTACGTAACGGGATGGGTAAACAACTATTTTAAGGAATGGGAAAATTATGTAAATCTTAGAATCAAGGTTGACATGATTTTCTTGCACTCTAAACTGTTTAAGATCATTGTAATTTTTTGATGGGCATATCATGCTGTGGCATGGCACTTTATTAATCTCTCAACATTTCAGATTACCGGTTAATCAGATTTTTTAATAAACAATTAATAGAAAGCATCTACTTAAAGGAATATTTACTGTGCCTTAATTGCCATAAATATTGGTTGCATAACCAGTGCAAGCAAGTAGCTGGTTTTTCTCATACTTCAGTTCCTTTATTTTTTGCTCACCTGACATTTTCTGAACCACTGGGCCAATTTCAATCAAACTTGCCACAAAATATCCTTGGGCAATAGACAAATGAAAGGCCATGCTCTTGTTCGAGGGGATATCAGTTGATAATAATTGAAATTTGGTGGATGTTTTAAAAATCTTCCTCTCAAGATCACTGGGCTAAGTTAAACTTATAGGAATTAACCAGTTCATTACATAATTTGGATTCAAGTTTGTTCAAATTATGACCCATATGGGTAGGGTTGGGCATCAATGTTTTACATAAGAGTTTGAAGGGGAAAAACTCTTTTTCTTAAGAACAGAAAAACCATGTTTTGTCATATTAATGGTATGAAAGCATTAATATTATATTTAGCGCTATTCAGAATTTTATAATAAAAATAATAATAACTAGAGCCGAGTTCGTTGCAAAGCAATGAGTAGGTCTTCCGTCCGATTTACGATTTTGACGTTAAAAGTTCCACTTAAAGATGGAGGAACAAGTAAAGATAGATAAGATAAGTGCTTAAATTATTCAAAATATGTTATCAAGACACATAAAAAGTAAGATTTTTAAATATTTATTCATTTCCGGTTCTCTTTCAGTTACTTCTGGTGTGACAGGAAGTGCTCGAAACAACTAAAAATTCCACAATGAGTGTGTTCATGACTTCTCTAAGTTTCAATGAAAAAAACGCATTTTTGAACAACTTCTGATTTCTAAGACCCAATTTCCAGTTTTTAGACCGAACTTCTGGTGAAAACAAAATGACTTGATCTCAGACACCTTTTATGTCTATCATATAACCATTTAAAAATGAAAATTTTTCAAAAAAGCACATTTTTAAACTACTTCCCGTGGACAACGGAAGTACTGATGAAAAACTCCAAACCCCAGGTGCAAATGTACTGATCAAGAACTATTGTCACAGAAAGTTTCATGACTGAATCTTTGATCGTTTTTGAGAAATGGGACAGACAAAATTTTAATGAAAAAAAGAGAAAATCTTGAATAACTCACGACTGGAAGTGACGTCATCAAATAAAAAAAAAAACACCTTAAGTTCACATAATTTGTCATCAATGCTGAAAGTTTCATGAAAATCCATCAACATATTTGCGAGAAATCGCCTGCACAAAATCGGTAAGAAGAATAATAATATTAAAGAAAAGTTGAAAAGAAACAATAGAATAATAAGGTCTTATGTTGAAACGGAAGACCTTAACAATGGCAATTCATTTAATGGTGCAACAATGAAAAGGTCTTCACAGAATTAACAAGATGACAGTTTGTAAATCATTGATGCCCTCATATGGCAGATCATGGACAAGTGTAAAAGTGTCTCAAAAGTAGATGAAAATCCAAGGTCACGATTGATTAATTGTACATTGTTTAACGTCCCTCTTGAGAATTTTTCACACATATGGAGATGCCACCACTTGCCGGTGGAGAGCTGCAAATTTTGTCCTATACTCGGCAATTAGGGCCATTGAGCACTGCAGGGAGGGATCTTTTTCTTGCCAGCACCTACGGGACCTCGGCTTATAGGGTTTCATCCAAAGGACCAATCTAATTAAAATTAGGTGTTAGATCTGCTTGCATACTTGCTACACTAACATCTAACAACATCCCTGAATGATAGAGGGTCAAGTCAGAGGTCAAATTCGGAACAACTCTAGACTTATTTGGTTCAACAATATACAATGATTTTGCAGGTGACGATTTGATTGTTTGATAACGTTTGACCTCTGATTTGTCACCCTCAGTAGGATGTTAGATTTTAGTGTAGTGAGTATGCGAGCGGATCTATAACATTTAATTTTAATTAGATTGCCAAAGGACCAGTTTCCACATCCCACAGTGGGATTTGAACCTGCAACGTAAGGATCAACACTGCGGGACTCTAGAGCAGACGCTTTAACATTGTGCCACACAGGCGACATGAAGTGAAAAATATTGGTATCCAAACAAAGGTCAAACTTTAGATACGAAGGCCATAGGATAAACCCTTCAAAAGTTATGACAAAAATGAATGTTTTCAACAAGATCAAACTCGATGGTCAAGGTCAAAGTAAACAAGCAAATTCAAAGAATTCTGGTCCCTCACTTTTGGCCGGTGTCTTTGTGGGTGAGATGTCATTTTTTTATTACATATTGTGTCAAATATGAATATGTACTTATCATATACAATGAAGCGCACTGAAGTGGTAAAATTTTCTGTTTGGATGAAACGTTCTGAGTCATGTTTTGAACGTCAATTATAACAGAATGACACGCCCATTTCTTTAGAAACGAACAAGAAATATTCGTCGTAATGTTTTACGATACCCTACACATTGCGACAATCAACATGAGATACACCAAAATGGATATTCTTAAAGTTATAAGAGAGATTTAGAGTGTTCCAGCTTCTGTGAAACATGTATTGCAATGAATTTGTACATAATTATGAACTTATCATGTTTATTGGAGTTTCCAATTATTAACACATGTATTGGTCGAACACGTGCTTGCTGTGTGTTTATGTAGACTGTCAATTTGATTGGATATTATATTTATGGAATACCTGTTCTACAGGTATTCGAATGAACCATTTGACCGATTTTTACTTTCTAAAGAAATGGGCGTGTCATTGTATGACAATCAATGTTCTAAAGATAGCTCAAAACGTTCCATTTAAACGGGAAATTTAACCACTTCAATGCGCTTCATTGTATCATTTAGAAAATATCACCGAAGTTGAATTTTTAAAAAATAAGGTCAATCCTGAAGGTCAAGGAGTCAGAAATCATAGCATGCTTGGAAATATCCTGTCACAGGTAATGCACATGTCAAATATGAAGCCCTATCTCTTCTCAGTCAAAAGTTATAATGAACAAGATGTGTTTGTTTAACAGTAATGACACCGTATGGCAACTTAGCGAAGATCAAACTTTTCTGAAATGCAAATTAAATATATTGTTACCCAAAGTAGGGTCTTCTAACAAGACATACGATTGTGAAACATGAAAGCCCTAGCACCACCTGTTCAAAGGTTATGGCCAAGGATAGGTTTTTGAAAGGAAGGTCAAACTCCAAGGTCAAAGGGTCAAAATTGTTAGTTTCTTATGAAAGGTCTTGTCACAAGGATTACATTTGTGGGGTATGAAAGCCCTAGCCTTTACCGTTCAATAGTTATGGCCAAGGTTAAAGTTTTTATAAAGTAGGTTAAACTCAAAGGTCAAGGTCAGAGGGTCAAAGTTCTTGATATCAAATGAAAGGCTTTGCCACAAGGATGAAATATTTGGAGTGTGAATGCCCTAGCCCTAACCCTTCAAAAGTTATGGCCAAGGTTATAGTTTTTAAGTAGTAGGTCAAACTCCAAGGTCAAGGTCTGAGGGTCAAAGTTCTTGTTATCCAATGAAAGGTCTTGTCACAAGGATTAAATACGTGAAGTATGAAAGGGCTAGCCTTTGATGTTTAAAAGTTATGGCAAAGGTTAAAGTTTTTCCATAAGTATGGAAATCTCCAAGGTCAAAAGGTCAAAGTTGTTGGTATTCAATGAAAGGACTTGCCACAAAGAATACATATGTGAAATATGAAAGCTCTAATGTCTACCGTTCAAAAGTTATGACCAAAGTAAAATTTAAAACTTTAAAGTGGGTCACACTCCAAGGTCAAAGGGTTGTAGTATCTGTGCGACTGTCCTGTGGTACGACTTACTGTCTGTATTACCTCAGATGGTGGGATAGTCGCACTCCCTCTCTTCTACACCTGGATGCCGAGCGGACAGGAAGTGTCTGGGACAGCAGCAGAGCGAGGAGTCGACCCGGGCCAGAACCCACTGTGATTGTGTTTGTATATACATTGGATGTTAATAAATATTTTGTAAAGCACACCCCCTATGCGGTTACTTTACTGGCGCCCAATTCATGGGGCCCGGAGATTCCCGTACTGCTGTCAGGTATTTTTTATAGGCATCGATTTTAGCCGCCATTTTTGGTGCTGCTAGGTACGTGAGAGCACATGTTGATTTTTCATGTATTTTTCTTGAATCGAATTTTGGAATTGATTTGTAAATATTGTCTCTGATTTTACTTGATTATTTGTGACATTTCTTATGGATATGTCTGTTGAGGAGGCCGTGTTGGCTTTAGGCCTGGACACACGCCCGGCTATCAATAGTGTCATGCAGTCCAACAGATTTAACCCCCGTATTCCATGTAGTGTGTATGGTTTTCCCGGGGGAGGGGGTTATTCACCATATGTTTATAACGGGAGCGAACATATTGCCTCCCGTCACACACCTTTTGCTCAGTCAATGTCAGGTCACATGGGAGGGGGGTTGCCCCTGGGGGGTCCCTCTACACCTATGCCTGGCCTGCATTCGGGCATCCCCTGTGGGGAGGGTAGTGTGTTACATGGTATGTCAAGGAGAGAGTTCAGGTTTGCCCAGCCCCAATGTAGCTCACCAGGGATGATGACCAGTGATTCCTTGGAGTCCTCTTTATGTAGCCTGTGTAGGTGTGGCTCACCTGGCAGCACTGTGGGTTGTAGCCCACCTAGGTATGAATACAGTGAGGTTCCCTTGAGCTTAGGTTTAGAACATCGGTATTTTGTAGGTCATGTGCTCTCAGCTAGTAGCCAACCTGTCCATGTGGGAGACACAGCTAACCTGGGGGACATAGGAGTTAGACCAAGCTTTGGTGAGGGTATAACCCACTCGCTTGACCCCGCCCCTCCAAAACATGCACTGTTTGCCAATCAACAGCCTGTTAGGCCTGCACAGCTCACTTCTGAGTATGATCAGAGGCCTGTTTACCCTTTAGGACTCACCTGGAACCCTTTGTCCGTACAAACCCAGCCTGGACCCGCGGACTTTAATGTGTCCTCGTTTCCTGGGGATGATTTTCAACCCCGGACCTCAATGCCACACACTACCTTTATCCGAGACTTGGTGAATACTGAGGGTGGACATGCCCAACCCCCACTGCCCGATCACTCCCAATCCCTATGGTACCGAGGTGAGGATATTCAAACCTCACACCTAGGTATGACTATGCCCAGTGAATCACAGCATCATAGTGTCCCCATGTCATCGACTTGTAGTCCTGCCTATCTCGATACCCCAACCTGCCATTTTGGAAGGGAGTGGGAGAGGATAGCACATGTGCATGGTACAGCCAAGCTGGGACACTATGCTAGTCAGCCTAGCTGTCCCTGCCCCGGCCCAACAGGATAGCAGCTTTAATACACCTGCAAAGAACACCAGTAGGGCAGCTGCTGGGAGTAAGCCCAGGTATAAGGACCTTAGGTATGATGGTAAGACCAGCTGGAAGGCATTTTTGCATAAGTTTGTGAGGTTGTCTCGCAGTCAGCTGTGGACTGAGGAGGAGCAGCATGACCAGTTCTGTTTTTCCCTTGAAGGGGCAGCAAGCGAGTATTATACCTTGCTGTTAGAAACCAGTAGCCAGCTCCGCCTAGGTGAGATCTTGCAGAGATTTGAGAAGCGTTTTGGCTCCTCTGCCCCCGATCTCACTCATCAACTTAACTTCCAGTCTGCCAGCCAGAACCCTGGGGAGTCACTTCATCAGTGGGCCGACAAGGTCCTGACTTTGGCAACACGAGCCTTCCCCAGTGTGCCTGATGTGCACACTCACGCTATACCTCGGCTATGCTATGGAGCTGAGGATAGAGATGCTGGTATTTACGCACTTGATGGGCTTCCCCTGACAGTGGAGGAAGCTGTGGAGCGCATGCAATACTACCAGCACTCCCGGCGTCACAGGCCGAAGCCATCAAGGGAAGTAAGAAAGCTGGATTCTGCTCATGACATGAAGCAGACTGATCCCGGGAGAGTAAATGTTGTTGCTGTGGAGGAGCTCGCAGCCCTCCGGAGCAGGATAGAGAAACTCGAGGAGTTGATTAGGCAGAGGGAAGCTGCCTCCCTTCAGAAACATCAGAGGAGTGGTACCCCATCACGTAGATGGACGGAGCGGAACCGGAAGCCTGCTGTTTGTTTCAAGTGTGGAGAGGTGGGGCACTCCCGTAGAGATTGCCCCACCCGAGCTGCAGGGAAGACAGTGGCTACTGACGGGCAAAGGAGTGGGACCAGTATGGGAGGACTCCCTGTGGAGACATTCCCTAGGTCGGATTCCAAGGAGTTGGGGATCAGTGTTCCCCGCTCCTGTGTGCGGCACCGGCACAAGCGCCGCAGGCTGAAAGATCAATTTGGGATGCCACCATCACCGTTGCTTTGCTTGGCTGAGGAGGAAGTGGTCACCATGGAAGAGGAAGTGGGGACTGTAACTCCCCACACCACTCTGGAGCCGTTTGGACCAGCCATGGTTGGTGATGAACCCCAAGACCTGGGGAGGATGGACCCATGTAATGTTGATCTGAGGTCGCCTGCAGGGATGGGTAATCCCAGGTCACCCATGGCAGTGGGATTGGAGAAGAAGAGGTCAGCTTGTTGTCGACCAAGATGTATGATCAGCTGGAACCTAAGCCCCCAATCTTGGAATATGTAACCATGAGACAGGCCGGAGAAAACACCGAGTTGGAAGGATTTATAGTGGGGCCTGTCACTCTGTGTACCCTTACTCTGGGGGATGAGGCCATAAAGGTGGTGTTCAGGAGGTCTGGTGGTATTCCAGAGGAAGGAGTGACCTTTACAGGAGGCCCACTAGTTGAGGCAGACAGGCGTATGTCTGTTCCCCGTTTAGTGAGGGACTTTGGTATTGTGGTGCCTCTGACCCATCCTGGAAGTACACTGGGTATACCACACCCTGGAGTAGAGATGATGAAGGAGTTCCTCTTGGATTCTGCCATAGAGGATATCGGTGTCAAAACACTATCCCCAGGACCAGCCCAACCTTCTTTCAATAAGGTGGTCTATGGTCATGTTTCTTGGGGATTACCATGTTGTGTGGGCAGGGGCCCAACCCCAGAGGTAGAGGTCACCAAGGACCATGTTGCAGAAATGGGGACATCCCCGTATGATTCAGGCAGTCCCTGGTCGTCTGTTGATTCGCCACCAGAGGAGAAAAGTACTTGTCGCTTGTACAGATCCAGGCGGAGGCGTGGGCGACGCCGGAGGGCAAGATTGCCCTCAAGAGCCTGATGGTGTAAGTTTTGTCAGTTTCTGAGTTGTAAGTTGGCCTGGTGACCTTGGCCCACTCGGTGAATGTTAAACAGGAGTTGTAGGAGGTAATCTCAGAATTATCCCGGACATACCACCTGGTAAATTTGTGTAAATCCTTGTGGTGGTTTAGACTGGAGCTTGCTCCGGCACTTGTTATTCTTGGGCAGTTAGCCCGGGAGGGTGTTTATAGCGCCCCGACGATGGAGATGGTTCCGGACCCTCTTTCCTGTGGTAGACTCCAGCCTTTCAAAGAAAACATGGGGGAGTGTAGTATCTGTGCGACTGTCCTGTGGTACGACTTACTGTCTGTATTACCTCAGATGGCGGGATAGTCACACTCCCTCTCTTCTACACCTGGATGCCGAGCGGACAGGAAGTGTCTGGGACAGCAGCAGAGTGAGGAGTCGACCCGGGCCAGAACCCACTGTGATTGTGTTTGTATATATGTTGGATGTTAATAAATATTTTGTAAAGCACACCCCCTAGACGGTTACTTTAGGGTCAAATATGGTGGTGCCCAAAAAATGTCTTGTTACAAGGAATACATATCAAATTAAAATCAAAAGTTATGGGCAAGGTTAAAGTTTTTTTAATGGACGGACAGACTGACGGATGGACAGATGAATGAGATTTAATGTCCCCTCGCTTTCGAGAAAGCAGGGGACAATTAATTTTAGGCCTCTCTGACAAGGAATACACCTGTGAAATATGAAAGTAGTCCAGACAGGCACTCTTGGATCTAACGATGTAATAGCTTTACAATATCTCAATATTATTCAAGTTTATGAGCTCCATATGGTGGGGTTACCATGGCTACAAATTTGACCTAAAGCAGACTATATATATGTACTATTATAAATTACAAAAAAATATATATGATCAGATCAAATCATTAATAGAATAAAAAAATAAGAATTTCAGAAAAAAATAGATCAACGAATTAATATTTAATTCACTCAGTCTTCGTACACATAAAATATTACCCCCCACCCCCCACCCCGGGTCTAACAGGCTCAAAGACGAAACGGTCAGGTACCCGTCGTTGTAAAACGGAGATCTCGATCTCGAGAAGAATCGAGAGAAAAAAATGGACAGCGAATTCGAAAGGAAACACTGACAAAACTATTTTCTACAATTTATCATTGATATCTTGGTAAGATAAGAAATACTTTTATTTTATGAATTTTGTGTAGTTTAAATTGACGTCCTATGTTAATCCAAACTAATAAGTTCTCTCTATCGTCTTTTAACTCGAATTTCCTCATTAAAGAACAGCATGCTCATACAAAGAAATCGTTTATTCAAACATATTCAATGCTGAATAAATGTTGAAGGTAATTAAATTGAAGTCTGCATCAAACCTCAGATGAAACTGTAATAAACCAATAAAATTATAAATTCAAGTATTAACTAAGCCATGATTGGTCACATTCATCAGGTCCAGTCCAAAGACTATTTCTACCTACGTAGCTAGTAATAGCTACCTAGGTATTTAAAGCTACCAAAAGTAGCTATTTTTACCTACTTTATATAATTTCTGCATTTTGCGACCAAAAGACAAAACGGCGCAACATGGTGAATACCATATTTTTTTATACGGTCACACTGATGATGAATATGACAAAATTTGGCCAAAAAATGATTACTTCCTGAATCGGCAATTTTACATTAGTTTCTATGCAAAATTGATAATATATGAAGTTTTCATTTTTTGGCCAAAATTTTTGTCATATTCATCATTACTGTGACTGTATCAAAAAATTTTGTTCACCATGTTGTGCCGTTTGGTCATTTGGCCACAAAATGCAGAAAATATAAAAAGTAGGTAAAAATAGCTACTTTGGGTAGCTATTAATACCTAGGTAGCTATTAATAGCTACGTAGGTAGAAATAGTCTTTGGACTGGACCTGGTGAAGGTATCCTCCAGTATAATCCGAGATTCCTCTTACTCTAACCCCTGCTTTAATATTGTGACATGTGCAGGGGAGATTCTGCACAAGCCACAATATAAAAGCAGGGGTTAGAGTCAGAGGAATCTCGGATTATCTCTAGTGGTGTAGAATCAAGTTTGGTCAAATCATGACCCAAAGGGGTTAGGATGAGGCAACAACAGAAGATCAATCGTAAACGAAAATATTCTTGACCAATCTACTTAAACCATGGTTAGTCAAAGAAATATGACATCCTCAAGTTTGTTCAAATCATTCCACCCTGACTATATAATTTACATGTATTTAATTAAACCACAGGAGCAGTTTTATCAATAAACCAATGGCAATGTAAGCATAACCTGTGAGCTTCGCGAGCAAACGCTTGCTTTGCTCGCGAAGCTCATGGGTTATCTTTACATTGGTTTATTGATAAAACTGCCGACTCCTGTGGTTATAAACTTTACAATGCAGTATGTTTTTTTTTTATTCTTAACAAGTGCTTAGCTGAGCGGTGTGGTCCATGGGCTTCTTATTTGTTAAATAAATTGATTGTTCTTTTTTTGCAGACAAAGAAGATTTGAATTAATCATGCGGCTTACAAGACAATTATTTGTATCAAGGAAAAAGAGATTCAAGTTTTTATTTGACAAATTAGTTTACAAGGATCTACCTTTGAATGCTCCTGCTCTCAAAGGTAAGCTATGACATTTTTCCCTCTTGTTTTTTATACATTTGAAATCAGATTTCATTGATTACTAGCTGTCTGAGCCGTAGAGTGATGTGAGATGTCTGCCATTCTGGTCAAGGTTAGTGTACTTTTTGTCAGAACTCCTGAGCCATAAAAAGAAAAGAAAGGCTAAATTAAATTCTGATTATTTCTGATAAAGGTTTTACTAGCATACATGTACTTGCGTATTTTCGAGGTTTGCCATTGACAAATCGTAGTATGTAATACTTTACAATTAAATGTCAGATTTTTAATGATATTTAATGTGATTAATTAAATTTCAGATGTTGAGATTGAAAAGGTAAAAGAAAGCAGGGTGGTGAGTCGTAACCTACCAAGACAATTGCCACCTGAGCTAGCAGATGACCCTAGGTTTTACTCCCCTCCTAAACCAGAGGAAAGAAGCAATTACAGAGAAAAACCAGCCTTCCTTTACAACAAAAACTGCAGATTTATTGAAGGTTAATTTCAGAGACTAAGTCTCTAATATCTCATCTGCTATAATTTTGTTCACAATCTTATTCTTCCAATGTTAGTAGAGGTACTACAGGTGTTATATTATTCACAGGAATCTTTATCTCTGTATGTTTCATTTGTCAGTTAGTAAAAACTTGAAATACAGTCAATTCTCGAATTATCGCCATTCGATTCATCGCCATTTTTGCAATACCGCCATGATTTCCCAAGAACGTTTTTCCTGCTATATAAAATTCTCTTTATAACGCCAAATTCGCATACCGCCATCCGCCACCCTGTTTTCACAACAAACGTCCATTTTTAAGTGTCAATTATCTCGATATACCGCCCACAGGTGCATGTGGTCAGTGAAGCGCGGCTAATTGGTTGACGCTTCCCTCGTAAAGCATGCAAAGCCAGACAAGGTACATGCAATTAAATAATTAGATAAGAATTAAATAAACAATGATTTTAACATGAACTGTTATAATAATTTTGTTACGAAAGCGGTTGTTGTTAAAGGTTGCCAATATTTTGATGATCTCTTCTTCAAACAATGCAAAGTTTGCTTAAAAAATAATTATACGGTAGAAATTGTGAACGTTTCATTAACAATGATGCTATAAACAATGAATTTATTCAAGAATTCATTTTACATACTATTGGCTATATACTAGTATCACGACGATCGACCCAGCATGTTTTTTTTCTTCAATATGAGACGTGCAGATTTACATGCATACACATGTACATGTCTTTATTTCATAACTGTAAATTTTGTTTTAGCGAAATTGTACACAAAGAAATTACTTGAAGTATTTTCAAATTTAGAAATGTGTTTTTATATACATGTACATGTAATAATAAGAATAGAAACGCTAAATGGTATTTCTAAGAAGGATAACTCTACTTCTTGTTTCCTTAACGATAGGAAATTCAATTCATCGCCAAATTCGTTATACCGCCATGATTTCTAACTTACAAAAGGTGGCGGTTTATCGAGAATTAACTGTATAGAATAAGAAATATGATTATGTAAAACAAAAGTTAACAAAAGAATTTATCCAGAAATTTTAATACAATTCCTTACAGGCACAAAACAAGCTTGTTTTCTAACAAAATCAGTGAGGATGGAGGGAATGCCAGAAAATGTACAGCAACTTGTCAGCGAGTTTGAAATTCCAGATGAGGTAATCATAAAGGTAGAAGTGCTGTCTACTTAAAGTATACTCGCTATAACTTGAGCCAGTTTAAATAAGATTGGAAATTTATATATTTTGTTTATCAATAAAAGTTACAAAAATACTGTAAATTACACCATTAAAATTAAACGCGTTATAAAGTTATCAAATTATAATTATTTATTACCCTGCTAGGAGAAAAATGGCTATTTTTAAATAAATCCATCATGTGACGCCGTCACTACTTTTAGATTGATAAACAAACATGGCTTGAAGAAAACAATGTAGGCTGTTTGAAATACTACTCACTTTTGAGGTGGATGGCAAGCTGCTTGCTCTTAATGATACTTATCTTCTAATGTAATCAGTAGCAACCATCTACTCTGTTATGATGCATATCAAACTTTTATTAGGTCACCTGAGTAACTCAGGTGACCTATTGCTATCCGTTTTCGTTCGTCGTTGTGCGTCGTGTGTTAACATTTGAACATTTTCACTTCTTCTCTGAAACCACTGAACCAATTTCAACCATATTTGGTATACAGCATCTATTG